CTTGCCTTTCTTTTATTGAGATGAGAGAGGTTACTAACAAGATTCATCAAGGCTTCTTTCACGTAGGTTCTTCTTACCAATTCCTACAACCCTTGATAATTGCTGAGTGGTAGTGTCCTGATTTCATACCTCAGGAGATATTAAGTAAGGGGATTGATGAAACTCTTCAATCTACCCTGTCAACAACACCAGCCAGCAGGAAAGCCACCCATCTGCCACTGCATTACTATGGTTTTCACAGATAGCTTGATCATCAACTTTCATCATGTACCAGAATTTGCTTCTTTTACCTTGAGCAGACAAAACGAGGTGAGTTTAAAAGGCTAAAAATTGCTGGCATTCTCCCTGAGTGTGCATGGTTAAGGCCATGTCAGAACTTCCCATGCCCGGGAAAGCTAATGGCTAAAAACCAGCTTTTCCTCTTCTTCATCTCTTCTTGCAGCTAAGGGTACAGTAGCTGATTGCCAGGGTAGAGAAGTAACAGGGTAAGTGGGAAGAGTTTGGCTCTTAATCTACCGGATCAGCTAATCCTTTGGACTGAAACCCATTCCTTCTATTGAAATTAATATGTACCCAGGCTTGCAGATAAAGAAGACACTATGTACTTTAATGGATACAGATTCAACCAGGGACTCAACAAGTGACTGTTCATAAATAGTGCAGCCTGTATTCATTCAAATACTAGTATGTGTTATTCATGCTGGATTCCATAAAAGGATAAAAACAACTACAGGAATAGTGTTGTCCTCCTTGTACAATACCCTGGATACCAGCATATAAAACTCACATATGGTAGAAACCAAGCAATGATATGAGCACTGTGGCACAAGCTATGTCCCTTTTGTATGTGTGTGTTGTGATATTGCACATGTGTATGTAAACATGGCAACAGCAGATATGTCATTCTGACAAAACTATTACATTCTCAGGTAAAATCAGATCAAGCCTGTAAAATTATTTCAATTGATGTTCCCAGCAACTCTGAAGCCTTTTGCTCATATATCGTCCCATCGAACAAGTAAGTACTCCAAGTTTTAGGCCTCATGTCCACAGAGAATGAAATAGTCATCTACATACCTGGTCGTCAGCAAATTTAAGAAGAGCCGCCATGGGATCTGCACCCGGAGACAGAACAAAAATTAGCGGAGCACAGCAGTGGCTATCACCAAATGCTTTGTTTAAGTCAAAAGGAGGCGGCTCAATAAACAGACGACCCAAGTTGTTAATGATAAATTCTTGCACCATTGGAATAACCTAGAAAGTCAAGAAGGCAAAAAACTATGAGATGGTTGTCCTTAAAAACCATATATATATATTTTCTGAGGTTTTTGTGGGTGTTTGTATGTAGGTCTTTGGTTATTCGGGTTTTCTCCCACGTAAAATTGGAAGTGTCTTGCCGACGTTTCAACGAAGTCCCATTCGTCATCTTCAAGCTGGTGTTTTCGGCTTCGTGCTTCTAGGAGCAATGTGAGCAATGTGAGCACATTGCTCCTAGAAGCACGAAGCCGAAAACACCAGCCTGAAGATGACGAATGGGACTGCGTCGAAACGTCACCAAGACACTTCCAATTTTACGCAGGAGAAAACCCGAATAACCAAAGACAGAATATATATATATATATATATATATATATATATATAGAAATAAAAACAAAAATGCGACTCTTGGGGGTATTCATATTGTCAAAATAATGATCACCAAGAGAATATCTATCAAAAATAGAATTTAATCCACCAAGCTTTCGTCAAATACATTTGACATCGTCAGGGTTAAAAGGCAAACGCCGGGGGAAGTCTTATATACAGTTGTTTAATGCCTGTTTCCGGCTCTTGGAGCGTGTCATCGGCCCCAGCTGATCGAGTTGAGTCTCAAGCGCACGCCCCACATCAGCATCTATCCTCTTTCCATTGCTAATTTGCATTCTGTCATACATTACTCCGTTAGCTGTTTCAGAGTTGGTGGTCAGGATCTTTTTGTCTCCCCTGCTCATAACTCCCCCACCATCCCACACACGGCTTCCCTTAGGGAGCGGGGGTGGGTAATTATTTAAATTGCTTCCAATATCCCTGCAAGCCCCAAGACCACTTTGATCTTGTTTATCTATCCCTCGGGGTTGTAACGCAGGCTCATAGTCACCACCCATGCTATTCCTCCTCCCCTCCTCCTTCCCGTGAGTTCTCCTAAATGATCTACTGTTCGTTTCCACGCTCTCTCCCTTGCGCACACTCAAGATGTTTTCTGCCATTGTCCCATTGTCAGTGCCTTGTTGTTCCGTCCATTGTCGGTAAGCACCATTCCCACTCATCCCCAATTCTCCATTCTCACTCCGTACGGGGCTCTTCCCCTTTAATTGCAGTCGCTGTTTCACTCCGCAGCTTTGTGTTGAGAATGTCAGAGGGGGGTGCCTTCCTCTGCTCGACTGCGACCGGGTTATCATAATGTGCCTGGTAGTATCCTCAAAGGGGGATTCATCCTCGTTCTCATCGTCCTCGTTAGACTTTATTATATTCCGTTTTCCTTCCGGTTCCGGTTGAAGCGGTTCTCCAACAATTAGAACACGAGGCCATGACCCGTCAACAGCCCAAGTTTTGGGCACGGTATGTTGACGACACCTTTGCTGTCGTCAAACGGTGTCATCTAGCTGGCTTTATGGGAGTGTTAAACTCAATATATCCGGACATTAAATTTACGGTGGAGGAGGAGATCCGGGGCTCGATAGCCTTTTTGGACGTATTGGTCCAACGTTCCTTAGATGGAACTTTGAACACCAAGGTCTATCGGAAGCCCACCCATACGGACCGAATCCTCCACTTCCATAGCAACCATCCGGCCTCCCATAAAGCCAGCTGCATTAAGACCTTGTTTAAACGGGTGCAATCGCACTGCAGCACCATGGAGTCTAAGGCAGAAGAAAGAAAACATCTATTCCGCATATGCCGGATGAATGGGTACCCCCTAAGGTTTATTAAGCGACACAGTATGGTATCAGACCCCCGAAACGGACAGCAAAGAGAGGAACCCCGGACATGAACCGTACGGGTGTCTCTACCGTACATTAGTAATGTGTCAGAAGCCACAGCCAGGCTTCTGGCACCCCACAATATACAGGTAGCCCACAAACCTACCCAGACCTTACGAGCTAAAGTGATGCGCCCCAAGGACCAGCTCCCTACCGCCGAGAGATCAGCTATAGTTTATAAGATCAACTGCACGGGGTGCCAGAGTAATTATGTAGGCGAGACCTCAAAAAGACTTAAGACTCGTCTACATGAGCATAGGTTGGCTATTAGACGAGGCGAACAACATTCGCAGATTTGGGCCCATGTAGCAGAATACGACCATTGCTTTGACTTTGAGAATGCCCAAATCTTGGCCAACGACACGACAAAAGGAGGTCGCCTACTGAAAGAGGCATGGTTTTCAGGAACGGAGTCCATCAATCGGCGCGTAGACTTGTGTGCAGCGCACCAAGCTCTGAAAATGTGGAGTGCCAGCAACCGTACTAACATGTGGGGGGGACCCAATCAAAAAACTTGTAATCAAAATACCACCCGGCCCCCCTCCCTGCGTAATTACACCAATGGAGCCTCTGTTGACAGCTCCTCCCTCCCGGATCGACAACAGACTAACTCCAGCGGACAACTGCGGCTAGGTTTGCCACGATCCGCCGGGAGCAGACTCTTTTTGGGACGGAATGGAGATGGAGTGGGGCTTGAGGAACCGGAAGGAAAACGGAATATAATAAAGTCTAACGAGGACGATGAGAACGAGGATGAATCCCCCTTTGAGGATACTACCAGGCACATTATGATAACCCGGTCGCAGTCGAGCAGAGGAAGGCACCCCCCTCTGACATTCTCAACACAAAGCTGCGGAGTGAAACAGCGACTGCAATTAAAGGGGAAGAGCCCCGTACGGAGTGAGAATGGAGAATTGGGGATGAGTGGGAATGGTGCTTACCGACAATGGACGGAACAACAAGGCACTGACAATGGGACAATGGCAGAAAACATCTTGAGTGTGCGCAAGGGAGAGAGCGTGGAAACGAACAGTAGATCATTTAGGAGAACTCACGGGAAGGAGGAGGGGAGGAGGAATAGCATGGGTGGTGACTATGAGCCTGCGTTACAACCCCGAGGGATAGATAAACAAGATCAAAGTGGTCTTGGGGCTTGCAGGGATATTGGAAGCAATTTAAATAATTACCCACCCCCGCTCCCTAAGGGAAGCCGTGTGTGGGATGGTGGGGGAGTTATGAGCAGGGGAGACAAAAAGATCCTGACCCCCAACTCTGAAACAGCTAACGGAGTAACGTATGACAGAATGCAAATTAGCAATGGAAAGAGGATAGATGCTGATGTGGGGCGTGCGCTTGAGACTCAACTCGATCAGCTGGGGCCGATGACACGCTCCAAGAGCCGGAAACAGGCATTAAACAACTGTATATAAGACTTCCCCCGGCGTTTGCCTTTTAACCCTGACGATGTCAAATGTATTTGACGAAAGCTTGGTGGATTAAATTCTATTTTTGATAGATATTCTCTTGGTGATCATTATTTTGACATATATATATATATATATATATATATATATATATATATATATATATATATATATATATATATATATATATATATATGGTTGACTATATATATATATATATATATATATATAATATATATATATATATATATATATATAGTTGACTTGTGCTGTTTAATAAAAAACTAATCACAGAGTTTCAAATAAGGAATAATTTTGGTGCAAGAAAGGAAAAAGTAGAAAGGAAAAATTCTCTTGTTAGGTAAACTTCTATAGCATTAACTATGAGTGTTATTTTCATATTTGTTGCCATGTCCCAATCCATCTTTCTCCAACCCAACATGCTCTAAATGAGTATATCTTAAACTTTTTTTCTCTCATGAGGCCTTCCCATTTTAAAAAATTATGGAGGACCCCCCCAAAGGGCTTTTATTTGTATGAGTTGTATTTATTCATATTTACCATATTAAAAATCAAAACTAATCCTTTCACTGCTATTGCTTGATGGAATTTTAAAAATGTATTATTTTTCAACATAAGCCAGCCAATAATTTTATCTTTGCAGGCCCCTGAGAGGTTCTTGGGAGTCCCCAGGGATCCTAAGGTTACACTTTAAGAAACACTGTTCTAAATGATAGCAGACTATGATATCTATCATCCCCTGAGGAGGTATAGCAATTCTGTGTTCATAATATTTGCTCAAATCCAAATCTTTAGGGGTAGGGATAAGCAATATGTAACATATTGGGCAATGGATTCTTCTCTCAATGTCCACTATTTGAGAGAGGGGGGGGGCAGAGAAAACATATAATATTGGCATACAATGACAAATAGCATGAGACATTGCCACCTTTATTTATAAGAATGCCTCCAGCTTCACTGCAGAAAATAAAAATTGGGATGACCTGGTTTACCGAAGACTGCCATAAATCAACTGCAAAAAATATATAACCACTAGATGGCAGAAAAGAGATGGACTGTCTCTGCCACCTAATGTCTATACAGATGTTTGCAGCCCTACTATGCAAGCATTCCTACTAGCCTCAAAAAAAAAAAAAAAGACAAAAGATATATTGGGGGAGTGGAAGGCAGAAAGCATCCTGAGCGGAAGGGGGAAATGATCTAATCAGTTTGCCTTCTGAAAAATGGGTCTTTTAATAAGTTGTCATAGCTACCCCTGCAGTCATTTTGTTTGATTGTTCACAAGTTAGGATCAGAAGAGTAGGCAGCATATACTTTTGGGGAAATACTTTTTTAAAAAAACAAAAATGCTTTGAAAATTCATATGTGCCCACCAGCTCCAAAAAATAATCTACCTCTCTCACATTGGGCCATATCTTACATCAGAGAAGTTGGGTCCCAATGCCAGCTCAAGCAGGGACAGAGCCAAACAATCGTTCTGTGTTATTAGGGTGGTGAGCGGCCAGGATTGATAACTCTCAAGAATTTAAGCAAATGCAGCTTTAGGAGCAAGAAAAGCAGCCCTGCTTCAAGTAGTTATCTGCAGAATTAAAGGGAAAGGAGCATCCCAAGGAATAAGATGTCAGTTATGGTAACCAATCTCTATACAGGTCTATTTTGTTTAAAAAAAAGTATTTTATTGTTTTTACTTTTTGACATTGTTTTAATGTTTATTTTATTTAGCATTTTCTAAAATATTTTAATGCAGACTTATTTTTTGAATTAGTGTTTTAACTGTAAACACTTTGAGGTTCACCTTTAAGAGGAAAAGGTATTGTAGTGATTTAAATAAACTATCCTTGTTCATTTATAGTTTATTCATCTTTTCACCCAACTTGTAAAGGTTGATTAACAGGTGACATCAATTGAGAAAGCTAAGGAAATGCCTTAAATATGAAGCCAGAAGCCATACATGCATGTGACTTTGAAAGAAAGTGCAGTGAGAACAGATGATTTGCAACATTCATAGCCTAAATGGAGGCTTTCCTGAGAGAACTCACTTCCACTTCCAAGAACCTACTTGAATTCAGGGAAATGTATGAATATAAAAATCGCCTGCAGACCTTAACTGCGTGGCCTTTTAAGGACAATTGCAAATGTTCTCCTGAAAATGTAAGTCTAGAAGTTCTGGTAAATCTTTGAAAAGAGCCTCCTTTTTTAAAAAAAAAATGGTGTGTATTCGTTCAAAGTAGTTCAACAAGGCTTTCTCTGTATAAATATAGTCCTACCTCGAATAATACTTTCAGTTGCTCTTAAAAAATGGAGGTTTTCCTCTCTTCCTGGGAACCAAGCTATAAATTACTTTCTGATAAATCTCCAAAAGGGAAAGCTTGCTGCTAAATCATTCCTTGTTTGTTTTTTAATATTTCAGAAGAGGAAAAAGGTCTACTCCCTCTGTCCCACATCTGCAGGTTTTATTTCTCAATTGTTTTACAAACGTCTCTAGTTTTTTAAAAGAAGCCCAAGCTGACTCCCATATGTTTTTCTAGAAATTATAGGGGAAAGTTCTCATAGTTGTATCTTTAAGCTGGGACAACTGTTGCTACTAACAGTTTAGGAATTCTCTCCTGGGGAAAGCTAGCAAATCCAGTTAAGGGATAGCTCACTTCCACATTTCTCTTTAAAATCTGCTCTTCTTTCTTGGCTCTGAGTTATCTTTGCTTTAGTCAAATTAAGCTGTCTGAGGTGACTCTGTGAAAATGGAATATGCAGCACAAAGGAGATGCAACTTTGGGTGTAAGCTCAACAAAGTTTCCCTTTTTGGATTGCTTGGCTCTGGGATCTGCTGTAAACAGGGCATGCTTGATAGTTGAGAGGGGGAAAAAAAGGTGGCACATCAGGCAGCCTAAGCAATTGTATCGAATCTGCAGAAATTCCAGATGCAGTTTATTTTTCAGTATAAGTGAGAGAAAATGGTAACGTGTTTGGACTATGCAGAACTTTCAGATATAAGCCAGAGTGCAACAATCTGCAGTTAGCTTAGTGTATTATGTTAGGCCAGCTCCTGTTACTGATTCATTATTTGAGAAAGAGTAGCTTAACCTTGCTTTATGTGAACACAGCCATTAGTAAAGATCCAGCTGATAGCAAACAATATCCCACTAAGCGCAAAAGTTCTCTCTCCGTCTTCAAGGTGTCCTTATCTTCTTCTTGTGTAGATGGCCAAGGCTGGCTTCATTCACCATCCGCATGCAGAGGAATCCGAGGTGGCCAAGTGCTTCTTCTGCTTGATAGAATTAGAGGGCTGGGAGTCCAATCACGATCCCTGGTAGGTATGGTCTGGTTGCTGATCTTCTGCTGTGAAGCAGCTCAGACTAAGAATGTTGTTATCTGAGCGTTAGTAGAGAAGGTTAGAAAACCATTCCTTGGCTGGAGCAGAATTACTTTCCCCAGTTTCTGATATGTATCTCTCCACCATCTTTAGTGGAATTTCATCCTGTTTTAGCTCCCATTGAGGAAACAACAACACAACCATCCTAGATAACTTGCTGCTTTACAAAGGTATATGTGGTAGTAACTTAGTAATTTGCTGCAAAACCTTACTCTATGACTGAATCATGCTGGAAGGTGTGTATGATGGGCAACTGCTTACATGGAAAATGTTTACATTTCTAACTGTACTACTAAGCTGTGTTCCAGAACATTTCTCCTTCTTTTCCTGGATCACTCTACTTCTTGCCAATGGCCTTTTTCTGTGGCAGGTTGGAGCATTCCAAGCGTAGTCAAGACTCGTGTGGGTTCTTGTCCCTTTCGAAGAATTTTGATGATCTGACAGTAGAAGAATACTATGAACTAGAGATGGAAAGGGTCAGAAATTTTCTGGTAAGTAATAGAAGTGATATCAGGAGAGCTGAGGTGACCTAAGCAATCTGAACTTAATTTTGAACTTAAAGCAACTTCTGACCCTACCCACTCCCTAGCGAACGTATCTTTTTCATGGGTCAATGTGAAACAAGGTGGCGACTTCTCTTTGTTTCTAAAAATCTTGCTTTGTTACAGCAAGAAGCTGTTGACGTACATACGACTGACAGCTACCATTTTTCTCCCTATTTTTTTTTTCTCTTTGACAAGGATTGACAAAGATTTAGTTTTTTCACTCACAGTAGTCTAAAATCATGCTGGGCTATGAGCGTGGATCCCAAATGAGCAATTGAGGTTGGAAACAATTACTGTCAAAGGTGTGGATGCTTTCTTTAAAAAGGGAAAGCTATTAATATATTCTGCAGTATCCCTTGCAGTTGTCCTTGCTGTCTTATCATCTAAAAATTGTGGCTAACTGAATTCTCCACTTGTTTTCAAGTGTAAAACCGGCCGGAGTATAATAAACACCTTTGAAAAAGAAGCAGCTCTAACAAGGAAACGTCTTGTGGATCATTTCATGAATAAATACCAATATGCTTCAGAAGCGGAGGCTTCTGTCGTTGCAACAAAAGAAAATTGTGTGCCAGCCAACAAATAGAAGAGAATGGATTGCAGCTGACAGTCTCTTGTGATGACAAGCATGGTCAGAGGTAAAAGTACATAATTAATGAAATGTGAACAAAGGCCTGGCCTGTAATACTGGTTAATATGACACGAATGGAATCTTCGGATAGCCATTTATATTCCTGATGCTTTTATTGTGTGCAAGGCTTGTTCTGCATAAAACCAGAAAGAAGACAGAAGGAAATAATTCTGACTTATGGAAGTAATCCACTAAGCTGAGATAATGTGTTTGGATAATGTAAAGATAAAATTTTGAATAAAGGGTTTTGGACAGACTGAGAGGGATTTCTTTTAAACTGATATCCAAATGTATCTAATAATATATCTTAGACAAATAATATGCACAATACAGTTGTCAGTGTAATGCTAACAGTCCAATATGTTGCTTTGGCATCACACATCAACAAGGTGTGATTTAAGCTTGTGTGTCACAATAGTTTTCCTCCATGGACAAATATAAAAAGCAACAATGCTTTTATTAATATATGTGCTTCTCTCTCTTTTTTTTAATCTGTTATGTGACTCCTATAAAACTGAAGACAGCAATATTTTTACATAAAATAGTCGACAAGGAACCTGTGTGAATTAGGGAAGCGGAGAGGCAGTTAAGAAACTATAAAACACTCCATTGGAAATGTCTACATAGTTTGTCAAAGACCACTGTATATATTAAAAATAAGCACAGATTATTTACCTAGAATCATCAAGACAAATAACATCACAGTAATTTAAAAGGAGACAAGTGTTTCTGTATCTGGAAAGTTCTTGTCCCTTTTTCCATTCTCTGATGTAATAGGAAGAGAGAGATTCATCTCATAGTAAATTATTTACCCACCACAAATCAAGATTCTTCCACCAGATTCTTCCAGCATCAGCTACGTCCAATGTTGATTAGAAAAAGACACAGCTACCCTTTTTAAGGGTGACCAATTGGATAGCACTCACTCTAATATACATTTGTTAAACCAGCTGCCCATACTTACTTTGTCAGATCTCAGACAACGAATGACCAGCATCCTCTGGAACCCTTCTAGTTTATTTTGCCACTCCTCAGGAAATTCCTCATGGTGAGGATTCTAAAAACACAGATAATTCTTGAGCCAAGAAATTGCAAAGTGGGGAGGGGTTATAACACTAACCAACTACATTGAAAGTTTTCCAAGATTCAGTTTCGTGTCATATAGTTCAAGACAGGATGCAGATAGTTCTTGGTTTATGAATGCAATTGGGACGGGAATGTCTGTTACTAAGTTGCGTGATCATTAAGTGCCCAATTTTGGGTCCTTTTTTGCCACACTTATTAAAGTTGCCAATAGCAATCATATGACTCCTGGACACTTCAACTGACATAAATACATGCTGATCACTAAGCACCCCGAACTGCAGTCATGTGACCAGGAGAATGCTGTGACTGTTGTGTGAGGATTAAAACTGTTAAAAGGTCATAAGTTGAGACCTACCCATATGTATCTGCATGAATCATTTTTTACAGTCCTACCCTCAGCCTCACACATACAAATATGCACGTATTTGTATATTTGACTGCATGTACATTTCCAATTTAAGCCGAACCTTCACTTTTTTAAAATGAGCTATAATTCATGAAAACTCAAGTGATAGTTATCTGGTGCTTGAGGTACCAAAAAAATTATTGTTTCACTACAGAAGATTAATATGGCTAGCTGTCTCAGGAAATTTATTCATGGAAATCTCCAGCTATTTCCCAGTTATTAACTCCCAATGAAAAAAAATGTCCAATAATTTATTCTGGACCATTAGTAAACAATTTGCTTATCCAAAACTGTGGTTTACCAGCAGTTATTAACCACCATCCTATGTCTCAATGGCATTGGAACTATTGCCAATAGCATGATGACAGCTCTATTTCCAGTCTTCTGGGGTAGCTTCTCAAAAAAAATTTGCAGAAGCTTCCTCTACTTGCTTCTTTCAGAATGGAAGTTTTTCCAACCTTCTCCAACTAACATTAATGAAGGAGTCATTCACATTTATCTGATTTTTAATTTCAATTTATTTTACATGCCGGGGTCAAAACATGAACTCTCCTGCCTCAAAGGAAGTGTGCTTGGTCATGAAACTATAAGTCATTCCCCAGTTTGTCTCTGTGATCTCTTTAACAACATACCAACCTAAATATTTTAGCATCACCTAAACCCATTTTAGATTGAGAGCTAAAGTAGGTGATGCTTCACTAGAACCAACAGATTCTATTTTAAACCTAACACACACATGGAGAATAATAAAGGAACTGGAGGAGGAGCAGACTGCTGTCTCTCCACATACTGCAGTCCTAATCTCAACAGGATTATTATACACCTTCAAGGATCTAGCTAATATAGGAACAAGACACACACTTTGTGTGTAGTCATGTCTATTGCCTTGCATCTAGCAATTTTGCTAAGACCTCAAGAAATGGCTTTTCCCTATTTTGTTCCATGATAAGCATATCCTTTACTACTTAGAAACACAGCAAATGTATTGTCCTCAGGTAGTTGCAGAACTTGCAGTGTCTACAGCTGCCTACCCAGCAAAAAACTGAGTTGTGAACAATTTGGACAAAGCAATACTTCATCAAACTGGTCTATCAAGCACTGCTTATTAATAACCAGAATTAATAATCATGCATGACTGCCCAGAGAAGCCACCGAGATTCACAAGCATTTCAATAACTTCAACAAGAAGGAAGAAAGTCTGAAGGCTAACACAGTCTGATTTCCAGTTGTATGCCAAGTAAAATAAAGCAGACCTTAATTAACCAAAGCCATGTAGAATCAACAGCAATCTCAGGAAAGTGAATGTTTCAAAAAGAGAGCAATAAAATATTAGCCCCTTTGGAATTAAAAATTTGCCTGGATATAGCTGCAGTGTGCTGCAGCTGCCAAAAAAGCCAACACAGTCCTAGGGCGCATTAACAGAGGGATCGAATCAAGATCATGTGAAGTATTAATACCACTTTACAATGCCTTGGTAAGGCCACACTTGGAATACTGCATCCAGTTTTGGTCACCACGATGTAAAAAAGATGTTGAGACTCTAGAAAGAGTACAGAGAAGAGCAACAAAGATGATTAGGGGACTGGAGGCTAAAACATATAAGGAACGGTTGCTAGAATTGGGTATGTCTAGTTTAAGGAAGAGAAGGACAAGGGGGGACATGATAGCAGTCTTCCAATATCTCAGGGGCTGCCCCAAAGAAGAGGGAGTCAAGCTATTTTCCAAAGCACCTGAAGGCAGGACAAGAAGCAACGGGTGGAAACTAATCAGGGAGAGAAGCAACCTAGAACTAAGGAGAAACTTCCTGACAGTTAGAACAATTAATCAGTGGAACAGCTTGCCTCCAGAAGCAGTAAATGCTCCAACACTGGAAGTTTTTAAGAAGAGACTGGACAGCCATTTGTCTGAAATGGTATAGGGTTTCCTGCCTGAGCAGGGGGTTGGACTAGATGACCTCCAAGTCCCTTCCAACTTTATTATTATTATTATTATTATTATTATTATTATTATTATTATTATGGTGGATCATCGCACAGTCAGCCAGATGTTCAGACTGGATTTGGCATTTTGTCTACCTATCGAGTCCTTACCCAGGACCTGGGATAGGCAGATGTGGATGTTTGATGGTATTACACATATCGTCGCAGGATGGAAGCAGTTCCTAATAAGGCCGCCTTTTGCAATTGACTAATAGCGAATTTGTCAATGCCAATGGTGTTCAAGTGGTGCTCCAGTTGCTTTGGGATTGCACCCAAGGAGCCTATTACTATTGGTACTACCCTTGCTTGCTTTTGCCACAGTCTTTCTATTTCTATTTGTAGGTCTTTGTATTTTGTTATCTTCTCCAGTTCTTTCTCTTCTATTCTGCTGTCTCCAGGCACTGCCACGTCCACTATCCAGACTTTTTTGTCTTTCTTATCGACAATTGTTAAGTCTGGGGTGTTATGTTGCAGGTGCTTGTCTGTTTGAATTCTGAAGTCCCAGAGCAGTTTAATTTTATCATTTTCTATGACTTTCTCTATTTTATGATCCACCAGTTTTTGCTTACAGGCAAATGATATTTTTTGCAGATCTTCCAATGCACCATTGTTGCTACTTTGTCATGCCGCTGCTTGTAATCAGTCTGTGCAATCTTCTTGCAACAGCTTACCAAGTGGTCCACTGTTTCTTCAGCTTCTTTGCATAGGCGGCACTTACTGTCTGTTGCTGTCTTCTCAATTTTGACTTTGTATGCCTTTGTCCTTAAGGCTTGGTCTTGTGCAGCCAGAATTAGTCCCTCGGTCTCTTTCTTCAATTTTCCTGCTCTTAGCCATTGCCAGGTTTTATTATTATCTGCTTTCCCAGCTATTTTTTTCATGTATGGGCCATGTAGTGCTTTGTCTTCCCATGCCTCTATTCTGTTCTTCATTTGGTCTTTCCTGTAGGCCAGTTTGGTCTCTCCAGTAGTTAGTAAGCCTTCCTGATATACTAATTTCAGTGCATCTTCATCATTGTTCTTCAGATATTCTTCCAAAGCCATTTTTTCTTCTTCAACCCTCTGATGTACTTGTAGCATTCCACGCCCACCTATTTGCCTTGGTAGATAAAGTCTATCAATGTCACTGTGTGGATGAAGGGCATGATTCATTGTCATTATTTTCTGGTCTGCCTATCCATTGCTTTTAGTTCTGCTTGAGTCCAGTCCACTATTCCAGCTGTGTACCTAATGACTGGGATTGCCCAGGTGTTGATTGCCTTTATGGTATTTCCTCCATTGAGTTTGGATTTTAAGATCTTCTTCACTCTCTTGATGTATTCACCTCTAATCTTTTTCTTGACTTCAGTGTGCTTGATGTTGTCAGCTTGAGGGATACCCAAGTATTTGTAGTACTCTTCCTCATCCAGACTCTTAATGTTATTTTCGTGGGGCATCTTGATTCCTTCAGTTTTCACTATTTTTCCTTGTTTGATAGTAAGTGTGCACATTTGTCCAAGCCAAACTCCATTACAATATCTTGGCTATATATACGGACAGTGTTGAGCAGCGATTCTATTTCAGATGATGTTTTTCCATACAGCTTCAGATCATCCATGTAAAGGAGGTGGGATAGTCTGGCAGATGTTTTTGATGTTTGATAGCCATGTCCTGAGTTATTCAGTATTGTTGACAGAGGAAACAGTGCAATAACAAATAGTAATGGTGATAATGAATCTCCTTGAAATATTCCTCTCTTGATATTAACCTCTCCCAGCTTCTCACCATTGATCTGCAACTG